CTATCACCAGAAATATTTATTGTCCACGGCAATGTCCAGGAATTATACAATCTTATTAGCTTTTCTTCTCTGGCCTCAGTTTCCCCACATTTAATCCGAAGAAGTCATACTACTCCCCAGTCTGAGTTAGAGACCCTCCTCTTCTCCCTCAGACCTTCGTGTGTAACTGTCTATTAATGAGTCTGTCTCCCTAGCTAGACCTTAAACTCCAAGGGCTGGGATCGTATTTTATTCCTATCTGCATTGTCAAAGCCTGGCACAGGGCCTGGCTTATAGCAGGTGTTCAATCAACATTTACTGACTGAATGGTCCCTAAAGTTCTTGGAGGATAGACTCATGGAATGACTGGATCAGTTGTTCTGATTCTGTCCTCCACAGAGCTCAACATGAAGTGTGGTCCAGATCACCCTCCCCACCCCCCTGGGAGCTGTCCTGCTCAGGCTGCTTCTGTGGAAACACTGTGGCCCTCCCCGAGCCTTCTTCTTTTCTTAACTTCTATATTCCCATCTTCAAATATCATTCTCCTTGGTCTGTGCCAGTCTAAAGCTGTTTCACTTGCTTCAAACTTCAGGACAGGCGTCTCTCATTTACTCCCCTTTCTGCAACCAAATCCACACAGCCTGCTTAGGTCTTTCACAGGTCTTACCTTAGATTCTCTTGGAGGAAGAACCTGATAACGATTTGAATGGGAGAAGTTTACTAGGGAAGTGATTCCAGGGATCATGGATGGTGGAGCAGGGAAGTGAGACAGGAAATGGAAGCAAGGTGACACAGGATGCTCTAATGAGTAGGTACTGCTGTGGGCAACTGAGGCTCATTCCTCCTGAAGACCCCTTGGAGACTCTGTGGAACATACCTCAGAGTCATCCTGATGAGGAGTGCGGGAGCTGGGGGATTTATCCACCAACTCCCATCCAAAACTGGTTCAAAGTTAATGCCCCACCACTGCTAGTCTGCCTCATGCATTAGCTAAACACAGTCTTACAGCCGGAGAAGGTGTCCAGGGGCTTGTATAAACAAGCCATCAGCACGTATAGCAACAGTGAGATCTGAGCGGATCCCGGCAGCAGCACCAACACCTTATGTGACAACTTCTGGCCTGACGCCTAAAGGCTTCCACTTTCTCCTCCCAGTTTGCTCTGCTTGGATTAAAACATAAAGTTCTCCAGTTGGAAGAGACTTTGCAATCATCTACATTAACCAAATCCCTCTTCAGTTCAGAACCCCCTCCACAACATTCCTGACAAGCAGTTAGCCTCTACTTGAATGCTGCTAGTGTCGGGGAACTCACGGCACCCAAATTATTTCAAGTAACTCGCTATTTCTGGAATAGCTGAGTTGCTGAAAAATTTTTTTTCAAAGATTCCACATGTCACCTTGTAATTTCCAACTGTTGGCCTTAATTCTGCCTTTTGAAACCCCACAAAATGATTCTCCTCCCCTATTTGCAATAGCTCTTTTAATAGTTTCTACAACTAACCAAAGACTATGTTTTCACTATGACTGTCCTTCTCCAGCCCAAATCATCCACTGCCTTTCCCACTCTTACTAAAATATGGTCTTTAGACTAGTCATTCTCAACCGGGGACAAATTTTCCTCCAGAGGGGACAGTTGGCACTGTCCGGAGACATTTTTGGCTGTTACAACCACCAGGGGGTGCTACTGGCAAGTATGGGCTGTGGCCAGGGATGTTGCTAAGAATCATAGAAGACACAGGACTGCCCCCACAACAAAGAATTATCTGGCCCTAAATGTCTGAAGTACCAAGGCCGAGAAACCCTGCTCTAGAAACACCATTATCCAGGTCACTCTCCTCTGGATATACCTAGGGCTTGTCATACACAGCACAGTGCTCAGAACATGACATGTAGTACCTGCAGGAATAGGACCAAAGAGAGCATGACAGCATGGTGGGGGGCCTCTTACTCTGACAATGGGATTGACTACAGCAGCCAAAGCACCCGCCACATACGACCCTCCTTCCGAGTCTGGGGTCAGGGAAAAGCTCCAAGTACTACTGAGACAAACTGCTCTCAAACCAATGATTAGGAAATAAAAACAAAGATGTAAAAACATACATGCAAATCTAGGAGGCAGAGTTCCTGCTGAGCATCACCACAACTCTTTAATTATGATAAACTGAATCAAATTCGTTTCAGTTTATTTTTTTACCATAAAGATGTAATTGTAGATCTTTCTATCAAATTTTTGTCACCTGAAATACGATAAATTGTCTTTTATATTTTCATCCATGCCACTCCTAAAAAAATCAAATAGGACACACTGATGTTGATCCATTTCTTACTTTTTGGATAAGGCTGGGTTGACCAGCTATGAATCCACTTAATTGTAGCTTACATTTATTTATCAGATCTAAGAAAACACCAGGTCTAGATGGTTTTACTACTAATTCTTATCAAATATTCAAGAATCAGTTAATTCCTATTTTATTCAAACTGTTCTAGGAAATGCAGGAGGTGAGGGTGAGATGGAGACTTAAGCTTATTTCAAAAGCTAGTATAATCCTAAAACCAAAACCTTTCAAGAACAGTACATGAAAAAAAATTACAGGAAAATCTCATTAATGAACATAGTTACAAAATTCCTTAAAAATTACCAAATTGGATCTAGATTTGAATTCTATATTTTATAAAGTGGCTGAGTTTTGTTTATTCCAGGAATGTAGGATGGTTTAACAGAAAGTCTATTAATAAAACTCACTACATTAATAGACTGAAGAGGTAGGAAGGAGTCAGGGATGGACCACAGGCACACAGAGAAATGTCTTTTTTTTTCTTTTTTGAGTAGCTTTTTCTGAGTAACAAAACCCACAAAATTTCTGTGATATAAAATAGCACTCATTTTTCATACATCTTGGGTAAGCCAGGGGCAGCTATTTTAGGCTGGGCTCAGCTGGTTAGTGGATCAGCTGGGTGACCATATCCACAAAACTCTCATTATTCTTGGACCAGCTGGCTAGCTGTTGCAAGTTCACCTCATGGCAGTGCAGAGTACTAAGACGGCACACTCAACAGGACAAACACACTTCAAGCCCCACTACTTGTATAATGTCTGCCATCAGCCATTTGGCAAAAACAACTTGCATGATTGAGTTCAAAGCAAAGAATGGGAAAGCATACTCTCCATGGCATGGATACTAGGAGTGAAGAATTCAGGCCAAATACTTAATATATCACAGGGCACATGAGTATTTTATTACTTAAAATTTACAGATTATGATATATACATACACATTACAGAAATGTTTATTATGTGTGTGTGTGTGTATATATATGAAATTTGGTATGTGCAACATATTTTTAAAGTTTGGGGGGGGTTGGGGGTATTTATTTATTTTAATGAAGGTACTGGGGATTGAACCCAGGTCCTCATGCATGCTAAGCACATACTCTACCACTGAGCTATACCCTTCCCCCACAAATATTTCATAATAAAACTTAAATTCACACAATAAGTACACTTTGGAATACTTCTTATGTACTAGTCTGATACTCTTATCCAAAAAGGAAATGAAGCCAGTTTGGCAGGATGTATTCTTCACGATCATCTCATTCATCTTTACTTTATCCCATTTTTTCAACCTCTTCAAAAAAGAATTTGAAGAGGTTTACAAAGCACTGAGACAAAAATAAATTGATACTAAATCAGAAAACAAAGCAAAGGGAAAATAAGGTCAACAAAACAAGATGGAGCCATACATGCCATTAGCACTTGGCATTAGATATTCTCCGTTTTCTCCTCTCATCCTCGTCCCACTCTTCTCTACCTGTTTAAGGGCCCCTGGTCTCGGGCTTCTCCTGTAGGGCCCCACCTCCAGCAGTCAGTGTGATCCTTTAAAGATATGTCATATCATGTCATCTCCTACCTAAAATCCTCCAGTTGCTAACTATCACACACAGAACAGGGTATAAAGGCACTTGCTGTTTCCTATGATGGAAACACTCTTCTCCAGATATCTACTTGCCTCCACCGGTCATTTCATTTACATTTAGGCCTCTGCTCAAATGACAACGTGTCAGAGAAGTCTTGCCTGGTTTTTAGCTGTAAATAGCCCCACCAACCCTATTCCTTATTTTACTTTTCTTCATAGCACTGATCAGTACCCGGCATTACATTAAATATAAACATGTAATTATACATTTCTCTCTCTCTAGAATGTTAAGTGCTACGAAACAAGGGTTTTTTTCACCCCAGTGTCCCTGGTACCATACATGACACATAGCAGGCTCTTGATAAATATTTGCCACATGAATGAAAGACTCCATTCTAGTTCATCTAGTTTCTTGACTCAAACTCAGCAAGATCCAAGAAGTAGTTGCATCTCAATTATGTGAGTGGCATTTAGCTAGATGCTTAGAGTTTTAAAATCTTACAGTCCCTGACCTGAATTATGACCTTTGGGTGAGTAGTGACTGGAAGAGAGCACAAGGGAGCCCCCAGCGTACTAGAAACGTTATCTGGGTAGTAGGTATGTAGGTGTACGCATAAATACAAACCTATTGAGCCAAACACTTAAGATACGTATATTTTAAGTTGCACCCCAATAAAAGTTTTGTCTTAAGTTTCTGGCCTATCTAGACACATCAACAGGTAGTTTCCAATGTGACAGAGCAATGAGAGGTCTGCACAGCCTGCCTGCCATGTTATCCGTTAGAATGCCACCCTCCAAAGGGCAAAGACTGGCGCACCGTTAAAAGGAAAAGGGTAGGCTGTATCCTGCCTTCCTTTTGACGCCAGAACCTCCCACAGATCATGGGCCTTCTTCAAGGTCTGGATCACGGCAGAGCTTCCCTCAGAGAAGCCTGGGCCGAGAGGGGAACAATGAGACAACCTTTATGCTTTAGATCCTTAACCACGTAGCTTGAGGAGATGGACACAGCGTCCACACGTTTGTAGGGGACAACTCGCTGTACACACAGCCTACGGAACGTCACAAACTCACCGCACGCAGGGCCGCGGGCCCTCAGTGCGCACGCGCAGCAGAAAGGGGCAGCTACGCAGGCGCACTGCAGCCTGGCGCCGGGCAAACCGGGTACCGGCGCCCCTTGGGCGAGCGCGCCCTCCCCGGCGCGTGCCATGGAGCAGCGGTTAGCTGAGTTCCGGGCGTCCCGGAAACGAGCGGGGCTGGCAGCCGAACCTAGCACTTCGAGCCAGAGAGCACCAACCTCGGGAGAGAAGGCGGAAGCAACTGCGACTCCAAAAGCAGCCCCAGGCTGGCTAAAACGGTTCCTGGTGTGGATACCGAGGCCTGCGAGTGGCCAGGCCCGGCCCAGCCTTACTCAGGTGAGAAGAGGGAGGTCTCGCCTCCGAGAAACTTGCTTCAGGGCCGCCGACGTGGCCTCTCACGTAACTCCGGCCGAGGCCCCGCCTCCGCCAGCAGGTGGTGGCCTACAGGCCCCGCCCCCTTGGGGGAGCGGCCCGGCCCGCAGGCCGCGCCCCCTCCGCTGGTTCCCGGCCCGGTCTTCGCTGGCGGGGCGGAACTGTTGGCACCGTCCTTCAGCTCTGTGGCGGGGCCTCGCGTCTCCTGCCGCAAGTCTGGGCTCTGATAAATGGCTTTGACGTTTTCTTTCCAGCCCGCGACCCACGCAGCTCCTGACTCCAGGCGGGAAGCGAGGGTCTGGGGTCCTGGAAGAAAGCTCCTCTGCCCTTGAGTTATTCACAGCGAGTTGAGTTATCGTTGTGCCTCTCCGTGGCTTTGGGAAATCTCTCCACAACCGTGTTGAGCCACAAGCCTCTGCTAATGGCGGGTAAAAGGTCTAATTGTGTACTGATAAAACGTGGCAGTAATTAAGGCGTCTTTTGATTCGCACCTGGGCCACACTGCATCTAGTCACCCAAATAGCCTGCGCGATTGTATAAAAATGGTATTTGAATACCAAACTCGCGGAAGTGTGGTAACGAACTGCCAGTGGTGGCATGTACTTGTGCATCGCTATTAAACTGGGGAAGTCTGTTCAAGTTCAACAATGAATGTTCAAGGCAAAAACAGTATGTAGATTAGCATGATAGCTTTTCGATAATCTCTTATTCACATCTCTTTGTATCTTCATTGCTTTTGCTCATGAGTAAAGTGGCAAGGTGGGTTGCATGTGAAATTGGAGTATCTCTATGGGAATACAGGACAAATCATCAAGGGGAAATCTGTAAGGCAATCTGTGACAAGGCCTTTGTACCTCCTAAATGCAAGAAGAGCCAAAAATTCCTTTTGAAAATTAAATGTGCTGGAGCAGAAGTGTACCTTACTCCTCTTAAGATCATTTCTCTTAAGTTCATTTATCATTTCGCCTGCCACATCTGTTTTTAAGGAAATTTTATTTATTTATTTATTTGTTTGTTTGTTGGTTGGTTGGTTGGTTGGTTGGTTGGTTTTGTTTTTGTTTGGGGGGGTAGTAATTAGATTTATTTACTTATTTTAATGGAGGTACTGGGATTGAACCCAGGACCTCATATATGCTAAGCTACACTCTACCACTGAGCTATACCCTTCCCCTCCCCGATTTTTTTCTTTTTTAATCAAGGAGAACTTACTGTTACTCAGTTTGGATTAGATACTATTCTCCATGACACATAGAAAAGAGAGTGCAGCAGAGTTCAAACAATCCATTTCCTTGCATGTAGTTTGTCCCAGGATGACTTTATCGTTAGTTAAAATTCACTGAGCACAATTGCTTAGGATTTTAGAATCCATTTCCTCTACCTTTTTCCTCCCCACAGTTAAAAATAGCACCTAACCCACACAATGAGATTTTAACTGTATGTCTCATTTCCAAAGGTATATGAGATCATTGAATTGGACCCAAAGAAACTGAACTTTGAGAAAGTTTCCAAAAAAAAGCTGACGGCTTGACAAAAGCATGAGAGGAAGTTCTGGACCTCCAGTGCTTCTTATTAATTACTCTGTTTTTCATAAGGGACTCTGTGTTAAGCTCCTTTTCATTGACTCGGTTATCATTCCTGGGTTTGCTCTGGTGTGAAATTCTCATTAAATTTTTTTCTCTAATCTACCGCCTATCTCTACCTAATAATTTTGGCGGCTCACAGTGTTTTGTCAGAGATTTCTTTAGCCTTCTATTTGTAATTGCTTCTTTTTGCTAGCTATTGATAAGGAAGCACCCACCTCCTCCTTCCCTCACTCTCGAATTTAGCCTGGGGAGAAGCAGTCTCTCCAAATAAAATAGTTCAGTCTGACGTGATTCTGCCACATTAGGACAAAAATACCTATGTGTGTATATATATATTTAAATATATATATGTATTTAAATCCTGCTGAAACCCCCATCTCCCTCCCCAGGCATATCCCATGCCAGCCCCCAGTGCTAGTGTCTAGCCTCAAGGTCCATTGCCCACACTCACCCTGCAGTGCCTCCCCTCCAAGCCTTGGCTCAGGTGGGCCCACTGCTCAAATGCTCTCCTTCTTTGGCGTCACCTGCCCAAGCGCAGCCTTTGCATCACCTCCTCAAATCCAGGAGTCATCTTTTCATTTCTCCCTTTTCCTCACCATTATTCGTTCATCCAGTAAAATCCTAGCATGTGCTTACTGTGTCCCAGCTACTGTCCTGTATCCTGGGAGCCAGTGTGGCAAAGATGAAGCCCCACTCTCAAAGAGCTGGCCTCTGAGTTGGGGAGCCTGGGGATGGCATGCCATAAAGGAAAAAACAGAATGAAGAATGCTATAGAAGGGGAAAGAAACCCAAGGTGCTGTGATAGTGAATTGGAGGTGAGGGTGTAGAGTGCTACTTTAAATTGGTTGGGCAGGGAGGACCTCAGTGAGAAGGTGATCTCACCATTTTCATGAGAAGGAACCACTCTTGCAGATACCTGGAGACAAGGCCAAGAGCACACGTGGTGATGTTTCTGCTGAGGTTTGTAGAAGAGGGGAAGAGGCTTTCCTCTCAGAGGGAACTACAAGTGCAAAGGCCCTGAGGTGGGAAGCAGCTTGGTATTTGAGGCATGAAGTACCTTCCCTAAAATGCGCCATATGTGCTGTGATGACCACAAATGCTTCCACACACAACTTTTACAGCAGCAGGTGCACTGGTATTAAAACAAATGCCAAACGAGGCAGAAGGATTTCCCTGTGCCACCTCTCCCTTGTTTGTTCCCTTTGCCAGTTTGTATAACACCCCCACCCTACCCCATCTCCTTCTAGCTGTCTAACCCTTCCCCTTATCATCCCCCTTAAAGGTCCCTAATTAAGTAAAGGGCTTTGGAGGGAGACCATCCTAGGATCCTAGACCAGCTTCATTTCTGCTCATCACTAGCTGTGTGACTTTAGGGGAGTTACTTAACATCTTAGCGTTTCTTTATCAGTAAATTGGGAATAATAATGCCTGCCTCCTGGATTATAGGAGATCAGGCATCTTGAAGGCACTCAATAAATGGTGGCATAGGCATTATTCTTGTTATACTCCCTCAATAATAAAGTAAATTCAGCTTACTGTGAATTTCAAGTCATATACTTTCCAAATGTATTCTGTAGCCATCAATCCATCATTTCTCTCTGACTTCTGTGTCACCAGCCTAATCTCTGCGTGCTTTCTTGTTGGGCCTCCTGCATGAGCTACTAACAATTTCCCTGCTTCTACTCTTGCAGCACATTCTCTGCCTGGCAACCAGAGTAGTCTGAAATATTAATCGGATTATGTTAGTTCCCTGCTAAGACCTTCAGTGATTTCCCTATTGTGCACACTAGTCAAATCTGAAAAGGACATTTATTTAATAAATGTGCGTGTGTGTGGTGGGGGTTGTTGCTGATGATATGTTAAGGGCCTTTCCAATCTAATTTAAAAGATAATCATTACAATGTTGGTGCCAATAAATATGTAGTTTCTGACAGTATAGTTTCTAGACAATATAGAATTTCTGAAGCAACAGAAATCAGGTGACCTGTATTTTTTATCAAGACTAAATAATATTTGTGGTCCCTTTTAAGTTGCCATGTGAAGAATAAAGGATATAACTGAATAAATGAACTAGAAGTTCTGCTGTGAACTGAGAACCTGTGTGTGGGGTGCTGTATTTGGCTCTGGAGACACCAAAAGATAATCAGTGGCAGCACGTGGCCTCGTAGTAACAACCTAGGGAAACGTGTGACCTATATGAAAAGAGACACCCTTGAATGACAAACAGTTTGGTGCTCCATGAGAAAGAGAGCTGGTTAGAGCTCTGGGAGGCAGAGGAAGTCCCCCTCCATGATGGCCCAGGAAGTCAGGCATGCATGGTTCGCCCAGCGTGCTTGCTTGGAGGAGGCCAGGAGCTGAGGAATGGTGAGGAAGCAGAGGCATTCCGGGCCACAGAGGGGCAGTGTCTCCGGCAGTAAGACCAGTTGAACTGGAGCAGAGGGTTCACTTATGGAGCAATTGATTATGGGATCATGTTGCACAGGAAACTTTTTAGACTACTGTTTTAAAAACTGCAAGTCATGACTCACTAGTGGGTGGTGATGTCAATTTAGAGGATCTAGTCCTCTGTTAAAACTAAATTTAAAAAATAGAATAGAAAAGTAGAACTTCATATGTAATGAAGGTATTTGTTGATTTGTGAAAGTTTTTTTCCTTTTATTTATATATATGTGTGTGTGTATATATTTTTATATACATATATATGCTGTGTTGCAGTATAAAATGTATTTCTTATTGGGTCATACCCAAAAAAGTTTGGAAAATAACTGGACTGGAGATCAAGCTCCCTAAAACTCCCTGAATACCTGTGTCTCCCATTAGCACCCAGAGCAGGGGCCTGTGTTCTGGCATTTCTGTCTGCTGAGTGAAAGCAAGGCCTTGGACTCCAGCCCAAGGAGTTTAAAATTTAACTAGCAGGCAATAAAAATTTGCCTAAGGTTTATGAGCAGGAGGTTGATGGGTGTTTTAGGAGATCCACTTAGCAACTGTAGGTAGGATGGTTTGGAGAGGAAAGAGTTAGGAGGTGGGGAGTCCAGTTAGGAGACCCTGCCTTGGTCTGGGGGTGGGTGTAGGATGGTCACAGGGGATGGAAATGTTGTGGCTGTAACAGTGATTTTTTTTTTTGTCAATATGTGGAAGGGGGTTTTGTTTCCTGTTTCTGGTATAGCCCTCATTTTAGAATCATGTCACTCACAAAAATTTAGCTCATCTAATCAGATCAACAAGCATGGATTCTGTATACCGGATCCCCATCGACTGCATTGTCAATTACCCGGGCGTTTCCTTATAGGGCTCATATTAGCTCCTGTTAGCAGCAGGCTAATCTTAGGAAATGTCTCCCTCAGATGGGAGGGAATCCATCTGAACGCTGTAAGGTTTTCTTCGGATCACATCTTACCAAGTGCTGATCAGTTTTGAATCAGTCAGAGCACACGAGCTCTTTGGAGACAGTTGTTTTAGAGAGTAGGGCAAGAAAACAGAAACCCACAAGCCGGAAGCCTTCCTGAGCGAGGACAGCTGCCTCTACAGATCGCTTTTGCCTGTCTGGCCCCATTATCTTGATTCTCACCTTGGTTTGTTTGTGTGTCCTAGGGAGCGGCTGAGCCCGGGAACCGAGCATCCCAGCCACGGCGGAATGCAGTCGCGCCTCCCCCGCCCCCGCGGGACCAGTCTTTCCGGACTAACATCACCTTCCTGAAGGTGCTCCTCTGGTTGGTCCTGCTGGGACTGTTTGTGGAATTGGAATTTGGCCTGGCCTATTTTGTCCTGTCCCTGTTCTACTGGATGTATGTGGGGACACGAGGCCCCGAGGAGAAGACGGAGGGGGAGAAGAGCGCCTACTCGGTGTTCAACCCAGGCTGCGAGGCCATCCAGGGCACCCTGACTGCAGAGCAGCTGGAGCGCGAGCTGCAGTTCAGACCCCTGGTTGGAAGATAGGACCCAGCCGTGCTGTCAGCTAGCCTCCCAGGGCCCTCTTCCCCCCGCGGGGTGTGGACTTGTAGGTTTGATTTCAGGTTCCCAAGACTAAGGAAAACAAAGGACCCTGCAATTCTCCATTCTTTCCCTGGTCTCCTGCTGCAGTTTTATATCAGAACTTCTTTTCGCTTTTGGTGAAACTCCCGGAAAGATACTCACAGTGGGTCTGATGCAGTTTATAAAAATTTACATACTGGAGAAGGGAGACCTGTCTGTCTCTTTATTTGAGAGAGGTGGCTTTCAGAGCACTAGAAGTATGTTGGGGAGATAACTGTTTAAAATATCCACCTCTTTGAAGTAATGGCTTGGTGTATCAGGACTATATATTAAATGTTCTCTGTAAGTATTTTCATATCATATTTATAGCATTTTTTTCCTGGAAAGTGTAAGTTGCAAATTTTTGGTAGTAATTTGGGTTTGTGTGTGTGTGTGTGTGTGTGTGTGTGTGTGTGTGTTTTCCTGCCTTATGTCTTGCTTTTAATGGTTGTGGAAACATCTACTTCTCAGAAACAGATCCCCATTGCCCATCACCATATCCCACACACCTCGGTTATCCTGCCTCCACTCAGTGAGGGCAGATAAGAGAAGACAAAGTTCTAAGTGCCAGGTGCAGGGAGAAGATTACACAAAGTCAATATTGGTAGATTTGATAAGTGGTTATTAATGATGAATTCATCAAGAAAAAATTCTTCAGTACGTATAAAGGTGTTCTGGAGGTGGAATGCTAGACTGACTTACTGGCTGCTTGGGTTATTTCTTATGTTCTGATGGCTTTAGGGTAAGCAGTGCCTTTGACCAGGGGCCTCTGGGGAGAAATTATGTAAATAGTGGTAATCGGCCACACTTTGTGTTCCTTCCTCTTCCAGCACAAAGTTAGAGTGTGGGCTCATTAAAATTGGGCAAAGCAAACCATTAAATACTTTTTATTTTTTTACAAATCAAACTGATTAGTTAGAGTTTTTTAGTTTTTAAAGCAATAGTTTTTTCCAAACTTCAGATTCTAAGACATGAATGATTCTTCAGTAGTTTTTCAACTTCAGAATTCAGTTATTAATTCTTACATGGTGAAAGTAACTTTAATATTTATGAGACAGGACTAAACAATGGAGATCTATTATTAATTCTTTTTCCATTCTTGCATGATTTACTTACAAAAATCTTAATTTAAATTTAACTTTCATTCCTTGAATGTCAACACTCTACTAGGTACTTGAGATATGATGATGAAAAAAGTAGGCATTTTCCCAGTTCTCGGAGCATATAATGTAACTGGGAATGGGGTGGTGGACAGAATAAAACAAGCAGTGCCAGCAATAGAGTGAGAGAAGTTTTAGTTGTTGCAGGAGCACAGAAGGGATGTGCTCATGAGTCATGCTTTGTGGCCCTTGTTGAAAGTTCCTCTGACTTGCATTGCTCCTCTCTCCAGCCCTTTGCTGATTGGGAGTTTGCTGTCCCTGAGAGTCATCCGTTGAGCAGAAGTTCCCTTTAGTTCATAAAGAAGTCTTTTCTTCCATGAGTCCTGTCTGAGCTGGACTGGTGGAAAGTACGGAAAACAGGAATCCCTACTAAACTTGCAGGTTTCGATTGTATTTAAGATACATGATTTTGTTTCCTGATTTATTTTCTTAAGGCTTTCTTCATCTCCTTGATACTTTACTTGGTCTGTTCCATTTCACAAAAGCCAAATACAAAGAAGAAATATCCCTCCCTGATCAAGGATTCACTGCGGTGCCCAGGGCAGTAAGTGAGCATTGTTTTAGGAAAGAATTCATTAGCATTTTAAAAATGTATAATTCAAACTTTTACCTAAAACAAATTACCTGTAACTGTGAATTAGGAATATTTGGTCCAGTTAGCAATCCCAGCAAAGTAGAGACTTCTCTTAAGCATGGAAGAGACTTAACTTTAGAGTGGACCGCACTAGCATTGTTTGAAAATATAGCCGTTTATAATGACGTGGAGCCTGGAGTGCCTTAAACCCACCTTTCGTGGGATTTGCTGTGAGCATTTTGCCACTTTCCCTTGCTCCCTTCTTCCCAAAGCTTGCAGGTGATGACAGCATTAACTTCTAGGAAAAGTGGGACGTGAGCCAATTAAATGCCTAGCAGGGAAGACAAGAAAGGATGGTATGTATTTGCTGTTCTTATTAGCCATTAAGCTCTAGGCGCAGTCTTGATTTCCTGAATTTGAAAGGCCTATTGATCTCAGAATTTCCACTCAGGGCCTGACCATTAGCCCAGCAAGCAGCTTCCATTAAAGGCTGCTTCTGTCATCAGGGAACTTGAAATCTCAGGGATGTGTTCAGACCCTATGATAGCCGTGTGCAAGAATGAGGTCGTTTTTGTCCGAGTCTTACAAGCAATTTGGTTTTTGCTTTTATTCACATTATCGCGTCTTGCCTGTTCACAGGGACTGTTAAAGGAGCCTCTACTTGCAGGGCTGGAAGAGACCCCAGAATGCCATCAAATGTATCCCCCTGCCTTGGGCTGGGCCGCATTTATTCCTGACTAAAATTTTTTTCATAGTGATCCAGAAAGGAGAATAATCCAGGTACAAGATTCAGGCACATCTTAGGAAGTCCTTTACAAAAGAACTTGAGCCACCCCAGGGTATTTCTTCTTATTCTAATCTCAGTGGACACAGAGCATCGTCCAGACTGGTAAACCATTGGTCAGTCCTCTTAGTCTTCTCTGTTATTTGGGCTAAATCATCCGAACTGTACCTCTGGGACAGTCACTTTCACACGAGCCCTGACCCATTCTGAGGGCACAAGGTCTGGACAGTGGTGAATGTCCAGTTGGCGGGCTGGGATGCCACGGAGCATCTTGCCACCAGGGGGTAGCATAGAGCTGCCACTATAAATCCTGGGTCCCTTCACATCACAGTTTATGTAATGTGGAAAAGCCACTGGGATGTTTATCTGAACCACTTGTGCTGCTTTTTCAGGCATTCTTTTCACTTTAAGATTTAGAGAGGAAAGGGCTCATCAGAGGTCCTGGGAAAGGCACAGAAAGCTACGAGAGTGATTTATACACATATTTTAAAATAAAACAGTCCCTTCTCTAGACTTAGCAGGCAGTCCTGCTGTCGAGGGGTTAGCTCTGAGCTCCGTAGGGGGAAAAAGACTAGGAACTTACACAGCTGGCAGAGAAACTTGATCCCTAAGCCAAAGAAAGTAAAATTTGAACTGTATGCTTTGGTTTCTGTCACACATACTTTTATTTCACAACATTGGGGCATTGGGCTGGATAAAGACTTGGACCTCACTCTCAGAAAGCTAGAGAGAAGACAAGGTGAGTGCACAAAGAACCATACTATAAGACATATAGCAAAATACAGAGGTCTGTAAAGGTATAAGTAGCGTGTGTGTATGTGTGTGTGTGTGTATTGGGGGAACAGTCATCAGGAGAGACCATTTTCAAATCTGACCGTTATGCTATGTAGAATTGTCACTTTCCTATGAAAAGCACTGTTTCTTCATGCCATGAATTAATATTTTAAAAGGTGTGGTCTAGGACCACCTGCATTAGAATCTCCTGAGATAATATTAAAATGCAGATTCCACCCAGACTCATGACTCAGAATGTCTGTGGGCAGGACCATGAGAATTTGCATTTTAATAACTAAAGATCAAGAACCAATGATATAAATCATAAATGTTAAAATAGGAAGAAAACTTAGTGATTATTAGAAACAAGCAAAGACAGATTGGTGTGTATTTTTAAAGGAGGCAACAAGGTTGCTGTTTTTCAAACTGTTTTTTAGAAAGCAAAGCTAGAGAAAAACACACATACGGCTTTTTTTTTTTCACACATATAGCTTTTAAATAATTAGGAATTAACTCCAAAGACTGTACAATAGTTAAAGATGCTTTATTTTTTGAAGTCTTAAGAACAGTTATTACAAAAAGAAGCACATGCTCATTTTAGAACATTTTGGGAATGTAAGAAAGAATAAAGTATTTTATTTTTATAGTGTTTTGAGGGTGAGGTAATTAGGTTTCCTCATTGATTTCCACTTGGAAGATTTACTGGGGATTAAACCCAGGACCTCACTGCATCCTGAGCATGCACTCTACCACTTGAGCTATACCCTTCCCCCTTTATTTTTATAGTTGATGCATATATTCTAGAGTTCAAGAGGTCCATAGGATATACACTGAGAAAGTCTCCTTCCCACCGTCCTGTTTGTTCTTCCTCAAGTCCACACATGACAGCATGCTATACAAATCCCTTTGCTTTCTTTTTTAGGAATTTAGGCTTTATTAACGTGCATTTGAAGTTTTCATGAGAGAATACCATGATCCAATTTCCATTTTTAAAAGGTCGCATGTGGAGACAGGCATTCTCTGTGTCATCCATTCATCCATCCATTCATTTATGGAGCAGTTAATCTTTTTCTCCCCCATTGGTGAAAATGTTTACATATTTTTTATTCAGCTATCTTTTAAGATTTTGTTAACACATACTGACATTATGGCAAAATTGTTGGCTTATGAAGTATGTTCATACATTCTACTTTTTATATTAAAGTAGAAGGTTTTCATTGGGGTAAACCAATAATATTAACGATCATGATAATTAAAAACTAAAGGATAATAATATCCTAAAAGTCAACACAACAAAATTTACCAATATTTTAGAAAAGGAACCCAGTAAACTCTGTATCCATTTGTTTTTAGAACGAATACATTTATGCATTCATCAACAGTTTTGGATAGCACTTTACCAAATACATTTTTTATACCAAATTCATTCTTTCATCAATGAAAGAATTACAGTCCGTAAAGGTCACAAATGAGGCCTAGTAAACTACTAACCAGCACCTACTTTTTCAACTTATTTAACTCTATCATGCCTCTCCCAATCTATTTATCCATCTGTCCTTCTATTATCCTTTTAGCTGTCTTCGTGTCATGATTTCTTACGAAAAGAACCAAAAGCCTAACATAGTATCTGCTGTGGACTTTGACGGAACACCTCATCTTTGCCAGGCCTGGTGCTGGCCTCTGAGCGTGCAGAGATAATGCAGACAAAGTTTCTTTTCTCAAGGAGCTTACAGTCAGATTGGGGAAGGCAGCTAATTATCTGACAGTGACAGTACCATGTAGTGAACCTTTTGACAAACAAGGGCCAGAGCACAGAAAGGGGATATCAAAACACTTATGGAGTCAGGGAGGGCTTCCTGGAGGTGGTGACAGGTCAGTGAATTTGAAGGCACATCAGGTACTTCCCAGGAAAGAAGGCAGGGCAAAGGAGGTAGCATTTCACTCATAGGAAACCACTTGGGGAAAAGGCGATAATCATGAAAGGGAATAGCATGCATGGGGGAAACAGCTGAGGACTTCCATTA